AAAAAAAAAAAAATTAAAAAAAAAAAAAAAAATGCAGAAAAAAAATATAAAAAAAAAAAAAAAATAATAAAATAAAATAAAAAAAAAAAAAAATTAAAAAAAAAAAAAAAAGTGCAGAAAAAATATATAATAAAATAAAATAAAAATTAAATTAAATTAAAAAAAAAAAAAAAAAACAGAATTAGAGGGGGGCCGGCCTGGTGGCGCACTGCTGTAGTGCGCCGCTTGGGAAGCGCGGTGGCGCTCCCGCCGAGGGTTCGGATCCCACAGACAGACCGGCCACTCACTGGCTGAGCGAGGGGCGGGAGCAACACCGAGGGTTGCGATCCCGTGGCCGGTCCCGGTCCGGTACGGGCGCGACACTGAGGGTTGCGATCCATTGCCGGTCACGAAAAAAAGACAAAAAGGAAAAAAAAAAAAAAACAGAATTAGAAATTCCAGGGAAATGAAAGGACATGTTATTCATAGTTACTACTTGACTATACAGTGAAGCATATTTACTGATTCCTAATCATCAAAACACTGAATACTCATTTAACCAAAGTGATTTAACTGTAGTGACATGAGTGTTTTTGAAGAATGAGGGAAGATGGTTCAGGAAAACTAAAGTAACATCTGTCATGCAAAGAAGTCACCAGATACTATCTAAAGTGGACAGATCAAGTCATTGTAGCAAAAGCATATTGGTGAAGATAAGGCAAAAACTACCAAAAGAAACTGCTAAATAATTAGAAGTGGTTGCCTCTGGGTAATGAATGGGGTGTGGAGAGAGAGATGACTGTTAGTTGTTTCCCTGAACCTTTCATATTCAATGATTTTGAAACTTAATGTGCATGTATTATGCCAATAAAGATTCTTTTAAAATTTAGTTTTTTTAATATAGGGTTTGTTTATTCAGAAAATAACAGCATTTACTTACACGTTTTAAACTTTTATTATAAGTGGAACCATAAACTGCAAACCTCATAGGAGTTGAGGATTCGTTAGATATTGGAGTTTACGGAAAGTCTCAGGAAAACCCAACAGAACTACATACAAGAAAATAAATTATCTGCTTACCCTGAGTTAAATAGATACTAAAACCACTCATGTTTAGGGAAAAAGGTAAGGAAGAAAGATTAAAGAAAAGTTCACTGAACTTCATCTCTAGTAAAGGTTAGAAGTCTTGGGGCACCCTGAGATTTCCTTCCATAATATTTATTACGACTGTAATTATGAGATTATATTTGTGTCTCACTCAGCAAATGATGAATCCCATGAGGACAGTGACCAGGCTGGTTCCATTCACTCTACTATTCCCTGCATCTGATACAGTTCCTGATACAGAGGAAGCACTGACAATAATGAGAAAAATAACAATGATAGCTTAAAAATCCAATTCCTTGGAAAATTCTGAATATTCCAATAATTCTTGGGCAAAAGAAGAAATAAAAGCCAAGATTATGGACTACTGACAAACTATAAGCAATTAGAACATTGTATGTTAAACTATGTGATGAGGCCAAAACTGTATTGAGAGAAAAATTCATCGTTTTATACTCATTTATAATTAAACAAGAACTAACATAAATAAACATTCAACCCAAGAAGCTAGGAAGAGGGGGGGAAATAGGAGAAAGAGATTAATAGATAAAATTGGAAACAGATGTGTTAACAAACAAAATAAAGCTCAACATCAAACCTACAGAAATGATAACTAAACCCAAAAGCTAATTTTTATAAACTATCAATAAAATAGGTAAAACCTCTACAAAAAAGTCAAAAAGTAAAAATATACAACATTGGGATTGATAAAGGGGCTATAACCACATATGCAAATTGAATTAAAATTATAAGGCAAAAAGGAAGTCCCTGTGTACTGATTTTAAATCGTTTTCATAGTGCCAAGTGTCAGCTACAAGATAATAACAGGATTCATAAACCACAAGGTCAAAAGCCAGGAAGATCACAAATGTTGGTGAAACACTTGCAGAGGTGAATTACTTTTGGAAACTTCCCTTATCATGCTCTGATTGCCTTGTATGTGGCACTTGTAAATGACTAACCACATGAACCCTTACATCCCCCCTCTTCTTCTGGTAAAGTAGTTCAAATCTGGAAGTCATAACCATGGAGGGAAAAAAAAAGTTCCTCCAAATTCTCTTCATGAGGAGATTGGTAGCTTGTTCTGTTGCCTCGAGAGAATAACATTTCTTGATACATGGAAATATTTCTCAACAAAAAGCCTGTTGCTACAAATATGTTAAAACTGGCTCAAAATTATATTTCAGTTCCAGCATTTATTGTTGGTATGGAAAGAATTATCTATGGATAATCTATGGACCAATGGATTCAGCAGACTAAGTATGGAATCAATAAGGAGTAAAATGAACATTTTTTTGAAAAAGTAATTTTTACCTCTTTAGATACAAAATATTAGTTTCTGAAAAATAAAAAAACTACAAAGGTCACATATCTAATTAAAATATTAGATGCAACAGAGACCGCTGTACATAACATAAGGAAAAACTGTGACTGAAATTTAGTGGTATGCTGGCTAGCCGTCTATGTTTGCCTTTGAGTAAGGCTATTTTAAACCCTGTACAGATAGAAGTTAACTTGCAGGAAATATAGTAATGCAAATAACTCCTGTCCGCAGAAAGGCAAATTGTGTCTCACGGAACACCACTGATTATCACTTTGGGAATACTGACTAATTTTGCATCCATTTAAAAAATTATTTTAGCATTTCTTACCTGACTATAAAATTGGGGTATTGTGTGTTCTTTCAATACAGTTGTAATATCCTACTGGTTCTCTCAATTAATGAGTTAAGAAAAATCTTTGACGCGTTTTTATTTTATGTTTATATGTCATGATTTTACCTTTTAAAAAATTATCTTCTGGGCCGGCCCGGTGGCGCACTGGATGGTGCGCCGCTTGGGAAGCGCGGCAGCGCTCCCGTCCGAGGGTTCGGATCCCACATACAGACCGGCTCCTGCTCACTGGCTGAGCCAGGCGCGGGAGCAACGCCGAGGCTTGCGATCCCGTTGCCGGTCCCCGGTCCGGTACGGGGGCAACACTGAGGGTTGCGATCCGTTGCCGGACACGGAAAAAGACAAAAGACAAAAAATAAATAAATAAATAAATAAAATAAAAATAAAAAATTATCTTCTAACAGTTATATGCACACACACATATACATGTATCCAATCACACGTATATATACATACATACAAAATGTATAATCTTGTAGGACAATTTTCATCATGTATTTCCAATAATTTTGTTAAATTATTTTAAATTACACCCATGGTAACCCCGGGAGACATTCCCACAAAGTCCCAAAAGTAGAGTTGGGAGGTTGAGATTGATCCCCTAATATAAGTTTGACAGGGGCCCACTCAGGGTCCAGAGCTGGGCTGGGGTGGGAGAAGAGTGTGCATCCCATTTGTTCAACCTGGTTGAGCAATGAAAAGGGATAAGGGAAGGAAGGGCCAGAAAACTACAAGAGGTCTCTAGAGGGAGAGAATAAACTCCATTATGGGAAGGAGGAACTTCATGAAGAGGCAGTACTGGAAACAAGTCTTGAAGGATTTCCACAAGTATAGATGGG